CCAGCCACACAAATAAAACACATGTAAACCACACGGAGGAAGCAACTCCCAGAGATTTAAACTACCCCCAAGGATTCGTTTGAATTGTCACATGTTGTTAGAACCGATTAAAAACATCTGGCTCGTACATTTAGTACACCGATTAACTGCATCCGAAGAAAAATCAACAGTAAAGCAGATTCGGATGGGGGTCATACCTTCATCTTCTCCCCCCAACAATTTGGGAAAACACTGATGCTGGTGACCAAGCCTTCAGGTTGGAACAGCATGCGCACATTCATCTCATTCAGCTTCCATGTGAGGCGTTCTCCTGCAATCACCCACGACCTGATGTGCCACACTCCCATGAGAACAAAACGACTAGCCGATGGTGGGGCGGCTGACGAGGGAGGTGTTACTATGGTGGTATCCAGGTCGAGGCCTGTGGTGCACGGCCAGTGCAGCAGCCAGCCTGAAGCGCTGTCAATGACTGCCGTCGACGCAATGCGCTCAAAGGCAGCCTGAATGGCGTCCTGGTGAGGAGAGGAGGGGAGGGGAGAGGGGGGGAGGGGAGGGGAGGGGAGGGGAGGGGAGGGGAGGGGAGGGGAGGGGAGGGGAGGGGAGGGGAGGGGAGGGGAGGGGAGGGGAGGGGAGGGGAGGGGAAGGGAGGGGAGGGGAGGAGAGAGGGGGGGAGTGGGGGGTGGGCTGAGTCGACTCAGAACTTGCTTTGGGACGCTGTCAATGAGTGCGGCCGGTGCAATGCGCTCAACGGCAGCCTAATGGCGTCCTGGAGAGGAGGGGGGGTTGGGGGTTGGGGGAATCGGGGGGGAGTGTGGGGTTGTTTAGAATATGGAAGAGTAGAACGTGAGAAGAACATCTCACATAGGCCTGTGCAAGAGGCCAATGCTCTGAAGCACTCAGCCGCACCTGCTTGGCATGGAGATGCAAGAGGGAATGAGAAACATGAGCATCGCAGCCAAGGGGATGAGAAACACGAGCATCACAGCCAAGGGGATGAGAAACACGAGCATCACAGCCAAGGGGATGAGAAACAAGAGCATCACAGCCAAGGGGATGAGAAACACGAGCATGACAACCGAGGAGACGTTATGCATGAAAGGGGTTGCCATCATAGCCAGCACAAGGGCATACACACCAAATCGGCAGAGCACGCCACATGTCCCTCACATATACAACCCGTCTCCCCTCACATACACATCAGATTAGCAGAGCACGCCTCAACCCTTCCCCCTTCACTCTCACGCTCTCACCCTTTGGCCCATCACGCGCATGTCAAGTGAGCAGACGATGGGGGCTGCTTGCAGAGGGAGATGCAGAGATCTGCAGCATCGCGCCCCTTACACTGCACCACCCCTCCCAACCCCTCACACACACGCACGGGACTCCTTACGAAAGAAGACGCGGAGATCCACCACCTCTAGTCTGGCCCTTCACTTTCCCAGCATCCTCTACACACACCCACACCCCCATCCCTCTCTCACCCCCACACCCCCATCCCTCTCTCACCCCCACACCCCTGACACGCACGTCAAGCGAGCAGAGGCGGGACTCCTTGCGGAAGAAGACGCGGAGATCCACCGCCTTGGCGGGACGCGCGACGTCGATCACTGCGTAGCGCATCGAGTTGCACTTCACCTGTTGGGGACGGGGATTGGAGAAGGGGGTAAAACAGACCACGGGAGAGAAGCAACTGGAATGGGTGGTTTGGAGAAGAGGTGGCCATGGGGTGAAAGTTTAGATGTGCGGGGAAGATTTAAACATGGGGTGTGTGAGAAACAGATGGCTGTGAGACGCACCTTAGTAAGGATGATTCCTGCTCCGTCAGGGTGAGGCACACATATCAACTTGTATGTTTTGCCAGTGTTGGTGTCTCTTATCTGTTTTGCATTTCGTGGAGGATTATAAAAGGATGCGCTGAGAGAATGGAAGAATCTGAGACATATTTTATGTATGCAGTATGCAGTGGTGGTAGTGTGTATGACGAAGGGTATGAGCACAATGGAGGGTAGATAAAGCAAGCTTAGAATATGACATTCAGCCTGAGAGACAGCCTGTAGAAATGCAAAACGCTGTTTTCTCTACCCTTCATTGTACCACAAATCGTGCGTTCAAAGCAATTGCTGCGTGAGTCATGCCTTCGTGCTAACCTACCAGGACGGACGCGTCTTGACTGGAGGTGAATATTAGTCAAGACGCGTGTACCACAACCTCTTAACAAGCTAAAAGCAGCCTTAAGAACAAACGTGTACCTGTAAAAGGCTTTTGAGTCAACTCAAAAGCACAAAAGCATACCCGGAGGTGGTAGCGTCTCTTGGTGCCTGGCCTCCTGCTGCCCTCCTCCAATGCAATGCCCTCCACCGTTTTGAGCACCGTCTCTGGGAAGCCCTTGTCGTAGATGTGTTTCACGGGCACCGGCAAGTGGCGCGCCTGCTGGTTCACATGTGCTTCAAACGCGCCCGCTGTAAAGGGCGGTAGACCGGGGAGGAGAGTCCTGCACATAGCGATATTGCACAGGAGGAGAAAAGAAAAGAAATCCTCGCGGTAAGGCCCATGTATGCCCGTCTCTGACTGTAAGGCTATTGTTAAGTGATACGAAGAAATTGAGATTCGCGCTTGGTTTGGCATTGTCATATAACGCCAATCAATGAACCAGCAACCCTCACAATGCCTCACAATGGCTCAGAACGCCTCACAACTCCTCAGATTGCCTCACAATGCCACACATTGTCACACATTGTCCCACGCTCACACGCAATGCAACATATCGCCACGCGCACACATACACGGGGCAATCCCAATCCCAAGGCGGTTTGAAGAGCACAGGAGGAGAAACGGAAACCTCTCGCAGGCCCAGCCGCCCAGGTATGCCCGTCCTCAACTTTTAGCTACTGACTAACCGATACAAAGAAGTTGGCATTCGCATTTGGGTTGGTATCGTCATATGAGGCCAGCCAACCAGCAACCCTCACAATGCCTCACAATGCCTCAGAACACCTCGCATTGCCATGCCACACATTGTCCCGCGCTCACATGTAACACAACATTTTGCCACGCGCACACATACGCGGGGCAATCCCAGGGCGGTTTGAAGAGCATCTTCACCAGCGACACTGCCACCCTGCACCGGTCCACCACCTGCGACTGCCTCACAGTGCCTCACAGTGCCTCACACTGTCCCACAAGCAACGCAACATCTCGCCACACGCCCACACGTACGGTGGGCAGTCAAAGGGCGGTTTGAAGAGCATCTTGACGAGCGACACTGCCAGCTTGCACCGATCCACCACCCGGGGGTGCCCTATACCAGCCTCCCCACCCACGTGCATGTCTCTATGTGCGGCCTCTAATGCTTTATGGAGCAGGCCCATTACGGAGGCGGATAAGGAGGGCAAAGAAGAGGGAGAGAGAGTGTGTGGTGAGGAGAGAGAAGCATCAGGAGGAGAAGAATCTTCAGGTGGTTTGGTAGTGTCATGAGCTTCTGTTTCTGAGGCTAGTCTTAATGTGGCAAGATTTCGTTCCCCATGGTGGCCAATACCCGTGAACCGTTCGAACCTAAGAACCACTCGGTTGCAGCTAGCGCTTCCCCCGTTGCAAGAACAGTCACCGTTACAAGCAAGCTCCATTTCAGGCGATCTCCGTAGGAGAAAATCATCGACTAGGGTTTGGATTACAACACTGGGGGAATCTAATGGCTTCATTCTTAACGAAGAACTGTTGCCTCGTCCCCAAGGCTGACTGCGGCCCCTGCCTCGGCCTCGTCCCCCGAACCTGTTTTTCGAGCCAGACATCGAGCCTCCATGACGGCCTTGACCTAAAGCAGCTGCTGGTGGCATGAAATCAGATTCGGTAGAAGCAGACCCGGTAGTGGAACCGGCTGCGCCGGCTCGCCTATGCGGAGGAACGTACGGCATGGTGAGGTAGGGAGGAAGGGGGAGGTGGAGGAGGAGCGACGGAAATAAGCGCCGCTGATTCTTATGACATATGGAGAGGGAGGAGGCACGGCGGGAAGGTTATCGTGGCAAGCCAAACTAGCGTCGGATTCAAGCCGGTTCAGATCAACCGCCTTCACGTTGAACCTGCCTTTTCTTACATACGTGCGTTTTCTCCTCGATACATTCTCTAGGTTATCGTTAAACACCTCCTAGGCTGACGTGGATGTGACATGCTGTAACGGTTATGCGAGTCGCTGGGAGTGGATCAAAACGCATTCTGAGCGAGGAGCAGATAGTAGTCAGGACTGGGAACCGCTAAGACTTATTGTGTCCATTCCATCTTGCTCAATTAGTGGTAGTTGATTCCAAGCGCCGATTATTTCTCCCTGCTGACGTGACATGACCTGTTTTCCGCACTTCGCCGGCTGATCACCCAGTACGGTTCTAAAGGTTTCAAATTCACCGTTTTGAACCGTAATGAAACAAAGGAATCGCAGAATGTAAAGCGAAATCGAACACAGCGGATACAGACGAATACGAGCAAAAACTCAAGGTCTGGCAGTTTGACCTAATAAACCGGACTTCACCGTGCTTATCGCCACACGTGCCAAGCTTTTGGTTCCAGGCTTCAATCGTTATGATTGCTCGATCAGATATGGCATGGTGCATCGTTCCTTTGCAGACTCAACAGTCATGAGTCGAACCTCATGGTTCTACTAGGTCATCACATCAGTGTATGCACGCACGCACCATGGTCCGACAAAATGGAATCGCGAGAGTGCGACACACACTCTCACACCACACCTAGCTTAGCTTACCCCTGCGGATGCTGCCGATGACGTTAGCGCCAAGCGGTCAGCGTCGGCAACACAAGTGCGGAATCGCGCACTGAATTCGCTGCAGGGAGAGAGAGAGGCGCCCACGCGAAAGAGAGAGGAGATTGAAAGACGAGGAGATTGTCGCTAGCCGTGTCCTGCGCCTTCCTCTTCCGCCATCCCCGCCGTTGCGCGTTCCCCTTCCTCTTCCCCTTCCTCTTCCGCCATCCCCGCCTCGCTGGTTCCGCGCCCCATGGAGAATCAGCCGCCCTTCGCCAGCAGAGGCGCGCCCGCAGCATTTCCGCCGGCGGGACCTGTTTCGTGGGCGCAGGCTGTAGCTGGGGGCGGCGGGGTGACTGGGGGAGACGTGCAAGCTGCGACTGGGGGAGGCGGATCTGCGCCCAGCATCGTATGGGGGGGAGGCGGAAGGTCGCAGCCGGCGAGCAATTTAAAGTGCGTTCCCTCTGTTGGAACATCTTGTCTTCGTCGCCTCGCTGTCGCCGCCGCGCTGTAGCCTCGTCGTTGCGTCGACATCGATCGCGCTGTCGCCTCGTCGTGTCACCACCCAGTGCTCGCCCGCCTTTCCAGTGCCCCCTGCGAGGTGACTTTTGAGTCGACTCAAAAGTCACCTCGTCGCGTCACCACCCAGTGCCCGCCCCCGACTTTCCAGTGCTCGCCCGACTTTCCAGTGCTCGCCCGACTTTCCAGTGCTCGCCCGACTTTCCAGTGCTCGCCCGACTTTCCAGTTCTCGCCCGCCTTTCCAGTGCCCCCTGCGCGTCGTCCTCTCGCACGTGCGCCCCTCGGAACCACCTTTTCGTCCGCCGAGTTCGGCTTATCCACCGCTTTGCCCGGCCGTTCCCTGCTGCCTCCTCTTTCGCTCCTCCCCCTCTTGCTCCCCATTCCCCAACTCCCTTGCCTTCGCCCACAACCCCCCTCCTGCCGAAACCCTTCCACCCTTACCCCAAACACTTCCTCTCCCCCTTCCTCTCCCCCTTCCGCTCCCCCTTCCTCTCCCCCTCCCGTCCCGCCCCCTCCACCTACCCCCACAGTTCGCCAGCTGATTTTCCCGCGCTGACGTCAGCAAACCGGTCCCCATCGCCGCCACTCCCCAGATCCGCGCAGCAGTCCCCCTCCCCCCCGCGCGCGCGCCCCCCCGGTGGCGCCTCCGCCAGCCTGCTGGGCGACGCTGCTGCACTGGCGCGGCGCAGAGCGAGGTTTGGGGAGGTGGCGCCGGTGGATGGCGCGGAGGAGGCCGCTGGGGGCGCGTTGAAGGATGGGGGAAAGGGCGGGGAAGGGGGAGAAGATTTGGGAGGGGGACGGGGGGGAGGACGGGGAGGAGGGGGAGGAGGGGGAGGAATGGGGATGGTTGCGGGCGGGGGAGGGGCCACGGAGGAGGGGGAGGGGGGAGGCGACGAGGCGGACTGGCAGCTGGCAGAGGCGGTTGTTGGGACGTGCCCTGACATGTGCCCTGGTATGTGCGTCTGTGCTGTTATGCCCCCAAATGTGCCCAGGGTATGCCCTACATACATGTTCCTTTCTATGCCCGCTTCCCGTTTCCCCCTTTTCTCTTCTTCCTCGTTCCCTTTCTCTCCTGCACTCCCCTACCACCTCTCGTCTCCTCCCCCTCCCCACCCCCGCGTGTGCTCTTCCCTCCCTCTCTTCGTCTCCTCTTTCCCAGCGTACAAGAGGAAGGCGATGGAGTGCAGTGGGGGACGTTTGCAGTCTGTCTCATGAAGTTCCCTTTCGCCTCTCTTCCCCTTCCCCCCACTGGCCACCCTTCCTTCGCCCACCTCCAGCGCATGAGAGGGAGGTGCGGGAGCGCAGTGGGGCGTTGGACGTGTTTGAGCGCGTCAACGGGGACCGCAGCAAGACGAATGCGCAGCTGGCGATAAAAAAGGTGGGCTGTGGTGATGCGAGTGTGAGAGGGCAAGAGCTGAGAGGCTGAGGCGGGGAAGAGCGGCGCTGGACGTGTTTGAGCGCGTCAACGGAGATTGCAGCAGAACCAACGCACAGCTGGCCATCAACAAGGTGGGGATGGGAAGTGAGTGTGTGAAGGGGGGTGGGAGCACCTCTCTATCAACGGGGACCGCAGCCGGACCAATGTACAGCTGGAAGTGAAGAAGGTTAAGACGTGTGAGAGAGGGGGGAGGGAGGGAGGGTATGCATGCGATGCAAGTGAGGAAACACAGTTTCCCGTTCCTCTTCACCCCTGCCATTGTCCACCATTCCTGCATCCACCGTCTTATTTCTTCACATATCCCAACCCATTCCCACCCACTGAACCCACCCCCCAGACGATCCCCACCTGTCCCCACCCACCCACACGCTCGCTCTTTTCGCCCTCCCTTCCCCCACTTCAAATATCTCTCGCGCGCCGGGCATCGACCCATTATTCATCCGCCCGCCCGCTGCCCATCCTGCATTGCACTCCAAGGCACCTTCTACCCCCTCCAGCTCCCTCCTTCACCTCTCCTTCGCTCCTCCCCCTCTCATCCCCTTCCCCACTCCCCCTTTCCCACTGTAACCGTGCTCTGTTGGATGCTGGTGCACCTTCTTCCTTCCCCTTCCTCACCTTCTTCCCTCCCTTTCCTCCCCGTCCTCCCCTCCCTCCCTCGTCCCGGGGCCCGCCGTGCTCCCCTCCCCGCCTTCCCCACTCTCCTTTCCCCCGCATCCCCACTCCCCCAGTATTCCCGTGCGCCCAACATGGACCCCTCGTTCATCCGCCCCATGCCCGTGCTCCACACCACCATGGCGCACATGCTCTCCCTGCTGCACCTCCCCTTCCCCCCCCCGCCCTCCGCGGCCAAGGGGGGCGCGGAGGAGGGGGAGATGGAGGGGGAAGGTGGGGGGGAGGAAGCAGGGGGGGCGGGGGGGCCGGGGATGCGGCTGCTGCTGCTGCACTCGTTCCTGTGGGATCGCATGAGGGCTGTTCGCGCTGACCTGCGCATGCAGCACCTGTTTGGGCGCGAGGCGATCAACATGCACGAGCAGATGGTGAGACATGGTGCTGTCTGCGCTATAAAGGGAAAAGAAGGTTGCATAAAAAGGGGAAGCCATGAAAGTGTAGTTCCACTCAGTGGCCGGCTATGAGATGGCACCTCCAAGCCGCGCAGTAAAATGTTGTTCTTCCTCCCCCCATTGGGGCTTGCTTCCATCCCATTGCTTCCTGTTGCACACGTCTTACTTCCTCCTCCCTCTCTCTCCCGAGGCGCGCTTCCACTTTGTGGTCACACACGGGCCCTTGCCACCTTGCCATCCTTGACTTCCCTGTTCACACGTCTCCTCCCTCCCCCCCCCTCTTCCTTGTTTCACCCCCCAGGTGCGGTTCCACATAGTGGCGATGCACGAGCTGTGCGAGTACCCCAAGGGTGAGGGCTTCAGTGACGGCTTTGACGCGCACCTGAACATCGAGCAGATGAACAAGGCGTGTGTCGACCTCTTCCACATGTACCACGACCGCCGTGCTGACCTCTCGCATGCACAAGCGATGGCGAGCGAGGGCGGGGAGGAGGGGGAGGTGGGGGAGTTGCAGGCGTGTTTGGCGCAGGAAGGGGAGCTGAGAGGGTATTATCTGCTGCTCAAGATCGACCGCCATCCGGGGTTCAATGTGAGTCGCATGTACAGTGGCTGGCTGGCTGGGGTTGTGAGCTTGTGATGCTGCATCGTGATGACAGTGTCTGTGGCAGCACAAGGCAGAGCTTAGGGGGTACTACCTGCTGCTTAAGATCGACCGGCATCCGGAATTCAATGTGAGTCCGTCAGTAGATGGGGGGACAATGAGCTTTTGATGACCATTGCATTTGTAAACACGGGTTGCTGCGAAGTGCGATTCGTTGGGTGTATGAGAGCATGAGCCGAGATTGATAGCGCATGTTGCCTGAACATGACTTGAGATGGATGGGTGACGCTTGTTGCCTGCACATTACCCCCCAGATGGATAGGGCGGACATACCAGATGGATAGGGCGGACATACCAGATGGATAGGGCGGACATACCAGATGGATAGGGCGGACATACCAGATGGATAGGGCGGACATACCAGATGGATAGGGCGGACATACCAGATGGATAGGGCGGACATACCAGATGGATAGGGCGGACATACCAGATGGATAGGGCGGACATACCAGATGGATAGGGCGGACATACCAGATGGATAGGGCGGACATACCAGATGGATAGGGCGGACATACCAGATGGATAGGGCGGACATACCAGATGGATAGGGCGGACATACCAGATGGATAGGGCGGACATACCAGATGGATAGAGCGGACATACCAGATGGATAGGGCGGACATACCAGATGGATAGGGCGGACATACCAGATGGATAGGGCGGACATACCAGATGGATAGGGCGGACATACCAGATGGATAGGGCGGACATACCAGATGGATAGGGCGGACATACCAGATGGATAGAGCGGACATACCAGATGGATAGAGCTCCTTTGATTTGTGCTACATGCCGAAGTGACTCTAGTGCACGGTGGTGTGACTGTGACTGTGACTGTGATTGTGACTGTGACTGTAACAGGTTGAGCCGGCGGAGTTTGCGAGGGAGCTCTCTCTCCTCCCCCACATCGTCAGGAGCAGCCCCCAAGTCGTCTTTGCTCGCTCCGTTGCAAGGTGGGTTCGTTACGAACATTCCAAATGCTCTGGGGGCTGGTTGCATGTGATAATAGCACGTGGAGCAGCCGGTCGGCTAACGTGGAAGTTCTGTCTCCTTCTACCAGCCTTCTCCGCTTGGCGCCTTCCTCGATGCTCATTTTGTTTCTTTGTCTCTTGTCTCTGCTTCGCGCGCTCTCGCTTTTCACCTTCACCTTCTCTCCCCTTCCTCCCCTTCCTCCCCTTCCTCCCCTTCGTCCCCTTCCTCCCCTTCCTCCCCTTCCTCCTCTTCATCCCCTTACTCCCCCCCCTCCCCTTCCTCCTCTTCCTCCCCTTCCTCCCCCTCCTCCCCCACCTCCCCTTCCTCCACGTCCTCCCCGTCCTCCTCTCCCCTCCATCCATCCACCCCTCTCAGGGCGTGTCGAACGCACAACTTTGTGGCCTTCTTCCGCTTGGCTCGCCAGGCCACGTACCTGCAGGCGTGCCTCATGCACGCGCATTTCAGCAAGGTCTGTGCCTCATGCACGCGCATTTCAGCAAGGTCTGTGCCTCATGCACGCACACTTCAGCAAGGTCTGTGCAAAGCTGCAGCGCTGCGGGCTCACTCATTGGATGGCGTTCAATCATAACATTGATATCATGGAATCCACTGGATGCTCATTCCATGCCCTCGACACTTACGCCTTTCTGAAAGCCCTCTGATTGCTCCACCAACCAAACCCATCCAGAGGTGCACTCCCTCTCCCTCCCACCGCACATCTCTCTTTCAGAGGTGTGTGACGTGTCACCCTCTCTTTCTCATGCGCACATCGCCTCTCCATTCCCCCTCTCCCTCGTCTCAGATGTGTTCCAGGGCGCTGGCAGCGGTGTATGCATCCATTGCCCTCTCCCTCTCCCATCTCCTCCCCTCCATTCCCCCCCTCCCCCTCCCCCCCGTTTTCCCACTCCCTCCATTCCCCCTCTCCCCCGTCTCAGATGCGTTCCAGGGCGCTGGCAGCGGTGTATGCATCCATTGCCAAGGGCCAGCAGCTGCCAGCCCTCACACTCGCGCACTGGCTCGGCATGGAGGTATGAGCTGCTGGCTTGACATGGAGGTATGGTCTGCAGGCTCGGCAAATGGTCTGCAGGCTCGGCAAATGGTCTGCAGGCTCGGCATGGAGGTATGAGCTTCACCCTCTCTCCTCCTTCGCTTTGTTTCATCTCTTTCTCTCTTCGCTTTCCCACCTTACTCCTGTTCACTTCACCATGTGTCCTCGTTTCACTCTTCCCTCCTCTCTCCTCCTCTCCCTTCCTCTTCCCTCCTCTCCCCTCCCTCTTTTTCCCCCTCTTATCTTGGCACCAGCAAGAGCCAGAGAAGCTGCAGGCTCTCGTGTGGCACCACGGCCTCGGAGGAAAGCTGCAAGCAAGCACTCATCTTCCCTCCTCTTCCCTCCCTCTTTCTCCCCCATCTTTCCTTTCCCCCCCTCTTCCCATCCCCTCCCCCCCCCCCCATCCTGGCACCAGCAAGAGCCAGAGAAGCTGCAGGCTCTGGTGGAGCACCACGGCTTGGCTCTGCACCCCTCAGACGCCCCCGCAGATGCCACCTACCCAGATACAGCCTCCCCCGCGTCCGCCCTGCTGGCCGGGAGCTGCCTGGTGAAGGGCGCCCCTCTGGTGCAGGCGGGGACGCCCATGCCTCCCTCCTCGTCTGCCCTTGTGCGCAGCAAGCAGAGCCGGTTTATTGATGATGTCATTGCTGAGGTCAGCGGTGGGGGGGGAGGAGGGGGTGGAGGGGAGGAGAAGGGTAGCGGGCAGGTGGAGAGGCAGCAGCAGGCAGAGGATCAGAAGAGGAGACAGGAAGCGTGGCTGCAGAAGCAGCAGCAGCAACGACTGCAGCAGCAGCAACAGCAGCAGCAGAAACTGATGATGGAGCAGAGGCAACGAGAGGAGCAGATTAAGGCAATGGAAGAGAAGCAGAGGGTGTTAGAGATGGAGATGGAGCGAGAGAGGGAGCGAGTGAGGGAGTTGGAGAGGAGGGCTGCACTCCAGGCACAGGTGAAGAGGCAGGAGGAGGAGAGGAAGGCGAGGGAAGAGGAGGAGAGGCAGCAGAGGGAGGCAGAAGCAGCAGAGAGGGAAAGGAGGGAAAAGGAGAGGGAGGAACAGGCGAGGCGAGAGAGAAGAAGGAAAGAGATGGAAATGAGGGAGAGGATTCTGAAAGAGAGAGCGAGGGTGGAGAGGGAGAGGAAGGAAGCGGAGCAGAGGGAGAGGGAGAGGGAGGAGAGCAAGAAGAGAGAGCAAGAGAGAAAGGAGCGGGAGAGGAGGCAGCGGGAGGAGGAGGAGAGGCAGAGGAGGGCTAGGGAGGAGGAGGAGAGGGAGCGGGCAGCGTTGGAAGAGGCGGGGCGGAAGGCGAGGGGTGTGTGGCTGCGGCGCGTTGTGAGGAGGTGGAGGCAGAATGCTGCTCAGATGGGGCAGCTGAGACGGCTGCGCCAGCTGGCAGTCAGTGATTGGCAGCTGGAGGGCTCCATTGCTTCGCAGCCGACTGTGGTGGCATCCAAGGTAATATGTGCTGTGCTGTGCTGTGCTGTGCTGTGCTGTGCTGTGCTGTGCTGCGCTGCGCTGCGCTGCGCTGTGCTGTGCTGTGCTGTTCTGTACTGTGCTGTGCTGTGCGGTACTGTGGTGTGCTGTGTTGTGCGGTACTGTGGTGTGCTGTGTTGTGCGGTACTGTGCTGTGCTGTGCTGTGCTGTGCTGTGCTGTGCTGTGCGGTGCTGTGGTGTGCTGTTCTGGTGGTGCTCCTATGGGCGAGCAATTTTTCTATCACTCTCAAAAGCACCCAGTGAGTCCACCAAGGTAGTGTGTGTGCGTTGCTGGTGGTGCTGTGGGCGAGGCACAGGTGCGGCTGTGCGCGATGCACACTAACACTCTTGTTCTGAGCACCCACTCGTGGCTGCTCAGAATCCACACGCAGGACACTGAAAGGGCCTCTCTCGCTTCTCCCCTTCCGCACTTCATGTTCCCCCGGTCCCCCACTCTCTATGTGCTGCCCTCCCTCCCGCCACCCCAGCAAGCCCCGCACAAGCGGTTGCGGGGAGCAGCAACATGGGGAGCCCCGGCACTGGGCAAGGCAAGCGCCGACCGTGGGGTTGCTACAGCAGGTAGCCGGCCTGCCCTAGCAGCACCCAGTGCCGATGGCCCCAGGTTCCTGCATCCATCTTCTTTATGGGGGAAAGCCGGCTTCGCTGCTCCCACTGCCTTTGCTGCGCCCTCTCCCCTGGACGTGGCACGGCTGGTGGGCGGTAGGCTTGCGGGCAGACAAGTGCCATCGAGCAGCGCTGGGCCGCTGCTGGGTGTGCGCCGAGTGGTTTCGTGGAAGCTGCTTGTGTGCTGGCCAGAGCGCGAGTCGCAGGTGTGTTCATTCGCGTGGAATGGTCTTGTCATACCGATGTGGAACCAAGCAATCGTGTCGACGTGGTGCCATCCATCATTGCTGCCTTGTGTCGACGTGGTGCCATCCATCATTGCTGCCTTGTGTCGACGTGGTGCCATCCATCATTGCTGCCTTGTGTCGATGTGGTGCCATCCATCATTGCTGCCTTGTGTCGACGTGGTGCCATCCATCATTGCTGCCTTGTGTCGATGTGGTGCCATCCATCATTGCTGCCTTGTGTCGATGTGGTGCCATCCATCATTGCTGCCTTGTGTCGATGTGGTGCCATCCATCATTGCTGCCTTGTGTCGATGTGGTGCCATCCATCATTGCTGCCTTGTGTCGATGTGGTGCCATCCATCATAGCTGCCTTGTGCCGCCAGGCCTCCCCATCATGCAGTGCAAACAATTGTTAACATCTCTCACACTACCGTGCATGCCTCATGCTACATCTTCATGTGTCGCCCTCCTCTATCTCCCAGTTAAGCTCTTCTGGCATGCTGAACTTTGTGTGTGCCCTGCCATACCCGTGGAAATCTATCACTCCATCCCATTCCAACTCACTCCACCCCATTCCACCCCACTCCATCCTAATCCATCCCAACCGAACCATGCACAAAGGCATGTCTCTCCAACTACCTCGCGTGCCTTTCCCATCGCAAATCCATGTGCTGCAGGACACGCCATCACCAGTCCGTGACGCCACACACTGGCTCTGCAGCACCCTCTCTGCCCCCTCCCACGCCCTCAACGCCCTCCAACACCACACAGAACCACACACCACGCCTCACAGCAGTGCAGCAACCGCCCCGGTCCCCAACCCAGAGAATGCCCCCACATCTGCCTCGCAGCCCACTGACCCCTCATTGCTCGCCTGTTACGTGGCTCCCATGCCACACCGTACTGCAGCAGGGGAGGCAGCACCCAAGCTGCCAGGTGGTGCATCAGGTGCTGCTTCAGGTGAAATCACGCGAGCAGGAGGAGCAGGGTCAGTATCCGACTCGCTTTTCTGGCTCGTGGTGAGGAGGGTCTCGGCAGAAGCGCAGGGAGGGGATGGTGGAAGGTTCCTGGAAGGAGCCCAGGCGATGGTGTGTGTTGTGGATGGCAGCAGCAATGCAGGGCCCCAGGTGCAGCGCATCAGACAGGCCGTGGCGTCGCTCCCGACCTCCCTCACTCCCATCCCCCTGCTGCTCCTCGTCCTGCCTCCCCACCCGCCACCACCATCATCAGCAGCAGCAGCAGCAGCAGCATCCATGTCTCTCTGCACAGGCCCCTGTGCCCCTGTGCCCGTTCCCTCCTCCTTCGCCTCCCTCACCCTCTCCCACTTCCAACCCCCCTCCACCCGTCCACCACCCTCTCGTTCCTCCCCTCCAGCCCCGCGCCTCTCTGCTCTCCGCATCCTCCCTCTTGGCCGATCTACTCCCCCTCAACCTGATGACCTGGCTTCTCCTGATTGGCCTGCCAAGATTGCCCTGACAAGTGGCCTGCGGTGGTTGGCCGATTCCTCCCCTCTGCCACCTCAGCTTGCTCCAATCCCCCTCCGCGATCTCGTGCTGCGCCACCTGTCGCCACGTGTCACGCGGCTATTGGCCGTGGACCCCTCACTGGTGCGGCCACAGGAGTGCATCACTGAGTTCAACGCCAGCCTGGACAGCGCGGCCAATGACGTTGCGACAGCTGTCGCGGCCTCACCCCCTGGCAGTGGAACCCCTCTGCCTGAACTGCCTGCTTTGCTGCAGCTGATGGGTGGACGTAAGGGTGGGAGACAAAGGGAGCTCAGCGGAGAAAGCGGGGGCAGTGAAATGGGAGAGAGCAGAAGCAAGGCGGGCAGTGCAGCTTCAGAGGCAGCTGGTAGACTAGAGGTCTCTCTGCTATCCGCCTCTCTGCCTCCTATTGACTGGAACAGCCCTTCTCGCACCTCCCGCCTTACCACTGCCCTCTCCTCTCTCCGCCTACCCCACTTCCCCGCCCTCCACCTCTCCTCCCCTCAGCAACCCTCCCTCACCTCCCCCTCCTCATCCCCTTCACCCACCCTCTCTCTGCCGCCCCACCTGTCCTCTCTAGCCCCCCAGCTGCACCCCCAGCTGGCCCCGCTCTTGACCGCACTCAACTCCTTCCTTCGCCTGGTGCAGGGCGATCAGACCTCCCCAGTGCTTCTGGCGCAACAACTGCTGGCAGAGGGGTGTGGAGTGGTGTGGAGGAGTGGGGCGGAGCAAGGTCAGCCCGGGGAGCAAGGAGGGGAGCAAGGGGGTGCGGGGAGTGCGAGGAGTGCAGGGAGGTTGTGTGCGGTGCCAGTGTGGCCGCGCATTCTTCTCCCTGTGTTGATGCGTCGCCTGGATGCTCTCTTCTCAGACCCTCCCCTCACCGCCTTTGTCCTCGCACCCTCTGCTCCTCCTGCTGCTCACGCTGCTCCTCATGCTGCTGCTCTCGCCTCCCTTGCTCCCTTGAGCCAATCCACTGCTGTGGTGCCAGCAGCTATGGCAGTGGAAGGGGGTGTAGAGGTTGGAGCCAGTGCGGTGGAAAGTGGTGCAGTGGGGTTGGGCAGCATGCTGCCTGTGAGTGCGCTGACGAGGCAGGAAGGTCTCGTTGGGACGGGTATGGCAAGGGAGCTCATCAGAACCAGTGGCAGTGCGTGGGTGGGTGGTGCTGCTGCAGCGAGCGCAGCAAGCGAGGGTGTGATGGACGACAATTCAGAGGAAGACGGGGGGAATGAGGTGGTGTCATCAGCAGAGCTCCCCCCTTTGCTTGCAGCCCCAGCACCTCCTTCCTTGCCATACAGGATTGAGCCATATCAATCTTACGTTAGCAGCAAAGCATGGCATGCAAGCAGTGTGCCTATACCCGGTCTCCCCACGTCCATCAGCCTTCTCCGCTCCTCCGCCCCTTCCTACGCTGCCGCGGCTGCTTTGGCCCCTCACACCTCTCTCCTACCATCCCGACCCACCCCCTCCCCTTCACCCTCCCCTCCCCCTCCTCTGTTGCAGCTTCCTCATCCATCCACCCAGGCTGCTCACATCAACCAACCGCCCCCACACTCCCACCTGCTTCCAGCCTCACACCACGTGCCCCTTTCTCTCTCCCGCACCAATCACGAGCTCTCTGGCCCCATCCTGCCTGTGCCATCCCACAGCCAATCACAACACAGCCTTGCCCGTCATCCACCACTTCCTCTTTACAAGCCCGGCTCGGGTTCTGTTTATAAGCCTGCCACTCAGCACGGGTGGGAGCGTGGAATCCAAGTGAAGCGAAAGGCACCGGCAAATGCATGGAGTGATGGGTATGGCGGTGGTGGGCGTGTGGGCCGTGGGAGTGGGAGAGAGGGTGATGAAAGAGGAGAGGGTGAGGAGAGGGGAGGCGTGGAAAGAAAAGGAATTGAGAGAGGATGGGTGGAGAGCGAAGGGAAAGGGAGAGCGGAGCATTGGTTCGGCCCAGGAGGCAGGAGGCAGCAGCTGAGGCTGGCAGAGGCTGATGGTCTGGTAGCCAATGAGATGCTGCCACGTGGCATTGTGCGAGCTGCTGACGTGGTTGCTGCAAGTGGTGCTGGTGAGGTTTTTCCACCGGCTGAAGAAGCGGCCAGATTGGGCAGCCGAGTTGGTGATGCGGGTGATAGGCATGCAAGCGGCATTGCTGTGGGTCTCGGTGATGGTGGTGGTGATAAGGCAGAAGGGTTGCTGAGCGCAGGCGCAAACGAGCGAAGAGTGAGAGAGATGGTGGAGGAACTGATGAAAAGGAGACAGGTGACAGCATGAACAATGTGGGCATGTACATGAAGCAGACTACCGTACATTGCACTGCTACCTTCTAATGCTGTTCCTGTACTACTAGTTTAAAACAGGGCCCACCCAGAGGTTAGGGGCCTAACCTTCAAGAGGGGGGAAAGGGCCATGCATTGTACCTGCATGATGTTACCTTACGTGAATTCAGCCATGCCACTGTCTGGCCTCTGTCACATGCACACCAGAGTATACAGTAGCCTCTGCATTGTACTGGTTATGTTACAACCATTTATAGAACTTGAACTTGAAACTTAAAACCATATACCGTATTTTTTCATGTCACGCCTAAAGGAGCGAGCCCATCCCCATAAACTCCACGCAATATTATATCAGCTAGAAGCTCCACCCACATATCTGTCGGACCGGGCGTGCAATAGTGAAGGCAGTCTAGGATCCCCCTCTCTTCCACAAAGCCTTTGTGCGAGTCTGGTCTCAGCGCGGTGGCAGTATCCACATCCATGTACACTGCTCCCACCTCATGCATCATGCCTCGCACCAGCTTGTTCTGCCGAGTAAACATGTCCCAGTGGAACGGCAGAATCTCCGGATTTTGGCGCTTTTTAATCGGCCCAATGTAGGTGGTGCAGTTGGCGTGGCCGGGGGGGGTGTTCCTCCAGATGATGAGCGCGTCGGGCAGCTTCTTGCGGAGAAATGATAACGCAGCCGGCACACTCCTCTCGAAGTCCTTCCCTCCAATGAAGTGCGCGCCTCGATTCACCACCACCACATGAGCATCGTTCAACCCAGAGTACAAGTGCCATGGAATGTGGTCAAACTTGGCTTCTCCAGGCGAAGTGAACCACAGATGGTCGTTCCGCACGAATTGAACCTTGAGGCCGGGACAAACACTCTCGTTAAACGTGTACACTCGGCAGTAGGCATGCCTTGGGGGCTCCACCAGCCAATCAGAGCACTCCTGGGGAATCGTTTCATTCACAGCACACACGGCAGGTTTGGGAATGTGTCTGAGGAGGCCGTTGAGGAAGCTGACAACCATCTGGTGCGCCAACGAATCCCCCAGAAACACCAAATTCAGCCCGCCTTTCCGCCCCTCCGCCTTCCGGCAAAACGTATCCCCGTCAAACTGCCTCAGCGGGCCGATCGGGCACTTCCCAGGCGGCGTTCTCCACTCGTATTTGAGCGACTCGCGCACGCTCCAGCCGCCCGACGCGCCGCCCTCCATCACATACTTGTCGGCTTTTTTCGTCACGAGTCCCCCGGTGGTCTCCTGGTGCCGGTGGTCGCACAGGTTCATGGTTCCGAGGTACTCCCAAGGGAGGATGCGCGGCGTTGCGTTGTACGCCCATCGCCCGCGCTGACTCACGCACCGCAGCCAGCGCCGGAAGCGGGCGGCGGACTGCAGAGATTGGATCTGCGTGCCGGGAATGAGCGGCTGCTTACTGGTGGATGCCTGCGCCAGCTGCGCGGCTCTCATTCGCCGGTCGGCGGCTGTCAGAACTGCCTCCTCTACCACTTTCTCATCCGCCGTTAATGCCTTGCCCACCACTCGAGCCAGAAACATCGCTGCTGCCTCCACTGCCCCGCTCCTCCACTCCACCACATCCTTTCCTGCACCCTCCTCTGCCCCTTTTCCTCTTCCCCCACCTGCCGCTCCTTCCACGAAGCTTCCTCGGATCACGCGGTGGTGAATCTGGCAGGCGGCTGCCAGGCTGGCGACTGAGTCAGCGATGACCGCATCCACCTCAGCGGGCGGCGGGCGGAGCTCCAGCAGGGCAGCGCGGGGCGGCAGAAACGCGAGGTTGACAAGAAACGGGCTCGTGACGCTGACAAGCAGCGCCGCCCGGGGAAACAGATCCCGAGCATCATCCCTTTGGAACCTGCCCACCAGCCTGACATGCTCCGCGCCAAACCTGCCCTTCAGCCCCGCCACTATCCCGGCAAAGCCCTTCACCTGCACTGCTGCTGGTGGCTCCAGCACTATCACCTCCTTCACCCCACTCGTCTCCCAGGGGGGTATGGCGGCGGGGGGGGAGCGCGTCTTGGGGGAGGAGGGGGGGAGGCGCTCGGACCAGTCAGGGTTGAGGAGGGGGAGACCGCGGGGCTGCAGGAAGTGCGAGGAGCGGAGCTTGGACCAGAGGGAGGGGCTGGGGTGCTGACAGTGCTGGAAGGTGGGCTGCACAGCACAGGGGGGACATGGGTAGGGGAAAGAGCAAGGGGAGAGGGGTTTCAGGAAAGTGGGAGGAGCGGAGTGGGGGTGCTGGCGGTGCTGGCAGGTGGGCTGTGGGCGAGGTGGGCGAGGGGTGCAAAATACGGGGGAAGAGGAGGGGCCGAGGGGTTGTTGTAGGAAGTGTGAGGAGGGAATTTGGTCGAGGGGTGGGGGTGCTGGCGGTTCTGGAAGGGGGAGACTGGTTGGGGGAAGTGGGGAGACATGTCTTGATTGAGATGCCTCAGAAAGAGGGGTTGGGTTGCTGGTACTGCTGGGAGGTGGGCGTGGGATGGGGGATGAGACGTTTTGTAAAGCACGTTTGTTGTTGGCACCTCAGAAGTGGGAGTTTGGTCCACAGGGAGGGGCTGGGGTGCTGGCAGCGCGGGAAGGTGGGTCAAGAATGCGGGAGTGGTGGAAGGTGGGTCAAGAATGCGGGAGTGGTGGAAGGTGGGTAAACAGACCAGAGTGGGGAAAGGGAGAAGATTCGATTGACGACGCTTCTGGGATGTTAGAAGTGAAGAAAATTGGGGTGGCGGACGGGAGGGGGGAGAAAGAGGGGAGGAGGGGTGTGAAATGAGGGAAGACACGTTTGGATGTGTGAGTGGGCCATGTGCGCATGTGCTTGCAGGTGTGGCGTGGGGATGCACCTGGATGAGAGTTCGCACGAAGAGGAAAAACTGCATGTGGTTGCAGGTGTGGTGCGGTGTGGTGTGGGGATGGTCATGGGCGCACCTGGATGAGTGTCCGCACGAAGAGGAGGCGAGCGGCATCCCCAAAGGAGAGCATGCGACCCATGGTGATGCCCACCACTCGAGGCAGCTGAGAGGGACAGCATCACATGCCACGTCACATGCCACGTCACATGCCACGTCACATGCCACGTCACATGCCACGTCACATGCCATGTCACATGCCAACCATGTTGCAGAGACGAGCACACCATGCCACGTGCCATGTAATGCCATCACAGCCCATGCATGTCAATCCATTCATTCCATACGATTCAGACGACATGGCAAAGGAGAAAAGGGAGAAGAAAGCCAGCTGCGTCAAAGGAGCAATATGAGCTCCTGGTGCTCTCACGGGTTGGCTTTTCAGCCTGTGGGTTAACACTCGGCAATGGAATCGGCAGCACCACACCCCCAGCATACGCACCTATGATGGATTTGACTCCAAAAACTGAAAACGTCAAGGGTCAAATCCGTTTTGACGCTTGACATTACTGGTAATTTTTTAGGGCAGCCAGAATGCGAAAGAAAGAAAGAAAAAATCGAAATCAAAATTCCGCGCTCAGAATGCGACCCGCCAAATGTTAACTCGACATTTTGAGGCCCCAAAACAGGCCCTTTTCATGACTGCCCCACATGACCTACAACTCCTGGGCGTATGCTGGTTTGTCAGAAATAGCAATTCCATGGCCGAGCTGGTCACCCCATGGCCGAGCTGATTACCCCATGGCCAAGCTGGTTACCCCGTGCAAGTGGGTGCGTATCTATGATAGATTTGACGCGCTCAGCGTTTTGACTCTGAGTCAAAACGCTAGCGTTCTGATGCTATTGATGCCCCTTGTCCGAGGGGTACCCCCAGTTTGACGCTCTTGCGGGCAGGAAAAAAATCCCAAGCATGGGTAAAAAAAACTGGGAACAGGGGGGAGAGGTTCGGGGGTTGGTGGGGACTACAGCGCATGTCGAGTTCTGGTTTGCGGAAATCTTTTGGGCACGCATGAAGCAGGAGAGGCAGGAACAGTCCGATTGAACACAGCTTGTTTGCTGGTTAGTTATGTTTTTGTAATGTGAATATTTCCTTGGCATGATGAGTGTTGGATTGCCACATTCTTTGGGTTTTGTTATTTTTTCAAGAAAGTGTTGGACACCTTCTTTTTAAGGTGCTTGCCGGCTTGCCTTGCCTTTTAAGCAAGCCAAAGAGCGGCAGGAATGCTCCAAATGCACCCGACGCACACGACCCTTTTTTATTTATTTATTGTAATAGTGTTTATGTGAGCACACCTTCTTGCCGTGCATGACGAGTACCAGCCATGCTTCTTGAGCACACAGGAGAGGGGGAGGGAGGAAGAGTCCGAGTGAACAGCACCACATACACGATTTGCTACCTAGAGAAGGCATGTAAGACATGTAAGGTAAGTACACCCCAGCCCATGCATGCATCCGTGCACGCACGCACCTTCTTGCCGCGCATGACGAGGGCGGGCTTGCCGTGCTTCTTGAGCACGCGGGAGAGCGGCAGGAAGAGCGGCACGAGCTCCAGGACCTCGTGGAAGGGCACCCGCGCTCCGGGCGTGCCGCCGATCACCAGCAGGTTCACCAGCGAGTTGTACGAGGAGACCCGCGTGCCCGCCTCGTAGTGGAACTGCCGCATGGGAAAGGAGAGGGAGGGGAGAGCATGGGGGGGAGGGGGTTGGGAAGGGGTGCGGCGTGGCCCCAATGACCAGCAGGTTAATGAGGAAGTTGTAGGAGGAGACTCGCGTGCCTGCCTCGTAGTGGAACTGCCGCGGGGGAGAGGAGAGGGAGGGGGAACGGAATAGAAGAGTACGGGGGTTCTGAGGTGCTCCTGATGAGTAGGGGAGAACCGTAGTTCACATCACATGCACATGCACATTGGGCAACCACCCAATCGGACACCCCTTCTAGCGTCCAACCGCCCATCCCTTTCCCTCTTCCCCCTTCCAACAGCCCCACCCCTCCCTGCCCCCGACCCCTCCTCTTCCCTCCCATCCACCCTCTCCCCTTTTTCGCTCTTCCTCCTCCTACCCCGACCCCTCCCTTTCCTCCCATTCAACCCCCCTTTTCATTCTACCCCTTCCCTTAAATCCCCATCATCCTGCCAACCTTTTCGTCCCTCTCTCCCTCCTCCCTCCCCCTCGCACCCACGCGCACCTTGTCTTCGGCGTAGCAGCCGTTGGGGTTGAAAACATGTGTGGCGTTGAACACCTGCCCCTTGTTGTTCACATACACGTCGTGCAGTGCAAACACTCGCCCCGACCACACCATTGCCACCGCTGAACCCCCTTTTGCCGCCTTCCCGCCTCCCCCTTCCTCCCCTTCCACCTCGTCGCCCTCTTCTCCCGCTTCTCCCCCTTCCTCCTCCTCTTCCTCTTCTTCCTCCTCCACTCCCCCGTACTCGTCGTTTTCTTCGGGTTTGGTCGTGGTGCCGTTCGCCGCGAGTCGCGGGGCGAGGTCCATGTAATCCGGGTTTCGACAGACGGAGATATCCTCGAAACCCGCGTCTTCGCACATCCGGAATTCCGGGCAGAGGAGGGCCTTGGCGCACGTCGCAAACTTTCGCCTGCTGGTATCCGCTTTAAGCGCTCGCCGACCCTTTCGCGAAAGAATGCTTGGAGGGGGATTCGGGTTGAGATCGACCACTTCAAGGCGCTTGCTGTCGATCGCTTTTCGCAAATCGCCCGCTGATGCATAATGCGTGCCTCGTTTTCGCCGAGATGCACCTGGTAACCAATCGCTAGCAGAAAGCAGCCTTCGCCGGCTACCGTGGTTTCGTCCTTCAGACATGCGAAAGGCGGGAGGTCCGACCAGCAGCGACCCATTACTGATCGTCCTGTCGCCAGCAATTTCCATACTTGTCCTTTTTTGCGTCAACTGATCAGGGGGAATAGCAACATCCGTGGTCCGGACCTCCATAGGCGGTTGTGGAAAGCGATGATGGAGAATAGAAGGATCGCCGGCGAGGTCCGAGACACCGGTGCTGCCGCTTCCATTGCCACGTGTCAAAAGCAACGCGACTAACAAGGTCAGGGTGAAACCGTTGCCACGTGTCCGCATGGAGAAGCTAAAGGGATCGCGGCAGCGTGCACGACATCGTACGGCACGCGCGTGAAGTATAACGGAACAACCTCTAACGGAACAGGACTCCATCTGCCGGGATAGCGTCAGGTATTATTTACCGATCTTTGTTCCTCCGTCTGATCTCCCGAGGGACATTTCTACCAACGTGGCTCCTCTGCGGAGGCTGCTACTTGGGTGGGAAGGCGTGACCATATCATCAACTGCGCCCCAAAACGTGTGGACGGACGAATAGCCGGCTTGACCTTAACCGCCTATTAAACCGCAATGGCGTCCTTAGCTTGGCATTGGCCTGTCCCTACGGGTCGCGAGTAATAAGACGGCAATCCAAGTCAAGGGCGACAGATGACTCGGTGAAGGAGACTGTAGGAGTGATAAATTATGAATACTTGAGTTGAAAACTTGTCTGGGCGAGATATAAGGACGCGGTAAGAGTAGACGATCGATCATCTGATGCGATCGATTGCAGTTCGGTTACTCTATTCACCGGCACGTAATCATGCTTCGAAGCCAATTATCAAATATTCGTACGCATCCTCAGAAGGCGACTGATTGTAGAATTGTGATGAGCGATCGGGGCACTGTCGCTGCACGAATGAGCATGAGCCGGGCAGGCCAGGGACGAGTGGTCCCCTTGCTTGCGAATCACGCGACTTGTTTAAAGCCCAAGACCTGAATTACAAAAAAAGGAAGGCAAACTGTGCACAGTTTGCCTACCGAACCCACAGTTGACCTCCCGAGCCAGGCTGGTTACCAGAAAACATTGCGCCAAGAAACACAGAGTCGTAGAGCAGAACAGGTTTGGTTGGCGAGAGTCCCAACCACACCCTCCTGAAGGAACAAGGGCTCAAAATGTGCACAGTTTGCCTTCTTCGGTAATTCAGGTCGTGTGATTTCCATAGTACGCGAAGCGATTAGAGTATGCGAAGAGATAGAATAAAACGCCACTACAGCATAGGCCATGAGCATTTTCACTTTTATTCCTAGCTCTTTCCCAAACATCGCATTTGGACCTATCGCCTTCCGCGTCCCCCACGCTTCTCCCCACCGTCTCTCACACACCTCCATCCCAAAAATGCATGGAAGCTGAACCTGCTAATTGGTAGTTACTTTGTGGTTGGTGTCGAGAAATCAGCCCTGTAGTTACTGGCGAACATACTGAATCACGGGATGCGAGGCTTGGGGCCTCCCGAACGTAAACCTTCTGGAAAGTTACTTGCAGGCTGGAACGAATGTGTAATCGGCGAAAGGCCCGATCAGTTGGGAAGTCTCACGAGAAGGTGTAACTCAGCATTAGCGAACGGCTTTGTCGCCTTTCATTTGTTCGTGATTTCTATCAGCAGTAATTGCGATCGTTTTCATTGGTCGAAATCAATGTAGGTTGATGGCCGCGCCTAATCACAGCATTTCGCGCGTAATAGTGTCAGTCGCCTCTGGCGTTTGTTATTGGTGTTGGGTTTGTGAGAGAAAAGCTCATGTCAGTTGATGTCAAATCCATCGCGTTATCTCAGCCGTCCTATACTCGACAGGTGTCCGAAATTTGAGAGTTTTCTCCACACATTTCGGAATGTACATGGTCACGTGGGCGTTCAGACGAACGCCACCTTGGCAAGAAAGTAGTGGTGAATAACTTACCAGTATTCGTAACAGTTACGTTGTTACTTATCGCGTTACATTTGACAGTTAGTACACTTCCATATAGGCATATATCAAATGTTTATCATAGCCTACAAATAGCATATTTATTTTGTATTATGGTGAATTAGTTATTAGATATTATATAATACTGATAATTTATATTGGTAATTAGATATTACTAAAAGCAAAGTACAAATTAGGTCTAAAGATAACAATTAGCAGAAACTACAAACACGTGCACAAAAGCACGCACTCACACAAACTACAGCAAACTACCAAGAGTTGGGCCGACACACACACTTGCACTCTACGCGTTAGGCACTCATACACTGCAACCGTCTTAACATTAGGGGCCCTGCAATCCCGGCAGCCCCTCGCAACTGATGAAGACCCTCTTCGTTGCCTCGTTAAACTTCCACGCTTTGTACTCAGCCTGCCACCAAGGACCCGTCGCAGGACTCCGGTTCTGAACAGCAAAAGCAACGGCGTTGTGCACGTTGGAATGGTAGATCGCAAGAGCACGCTTGTTGTCAACTGAGCTGCGCGACATCTCTTCGTTCTTCAGGAGCTTGTACTCAACCTGCAGCACCAAGAAGGGGATCCTTAGAGCAACGACAGTAATGGCAAACATTCTCATGCATGCTTCAAAAATTTACATACCCCTAGCAGGAAGAAGGCGATCTGCTTGAAACGGAGGACTAAGACAGCATGCCCCGGCCTCTCAAACGAGTGGAAGATCGCAAGGGTGAAAAAGTCAGAGGCGAAAGGGATCCCCAGTCGATTATGATGCCACGTCAACAAGTCCCACGAAAGAGCACCTGTAGGGTGCGGAAGGTTGGAAGGGTGTGGGTGTTGAGGTCAGGATGGGAGAGAGTTGTGAAATCAATTGAATGTTCATTGCATCCCACGCCCACAGCAGTGCAGCGGGCTGCCTGCGGGGGGGATGGAGAGCACAGGCATGTGGGCAGTGGGTGGGGAATCAAGTGGTGGGAGGGGAGTTTTTGAATCATTGTGGCCTTGCATCCCACGCCCACAACAATGCAACAAGCTGCCTGCAGCATACGGTGAGCACAGGCAGTGAGCACAAAGGGGTGGGATCCAGTGGTGGGAGGGGGGTTTACTCCACCTTGCATCTCACGCCCACAGCAGTGCAACATGCTGCCTGCACGGAGATGGTGAGCACAGGCAGTGGGACTTGGGTGGGGATCAATTGGTGGGAGGGGAGTTTAACTAAGGGCACGCCGCCTTGCATCCCACGCCCACAGCAGTGCACCGGGCTGCCTGCAGGGTGATGGTGAGCACAGGCAGTGGGACTTGGGTGGGGATCAATTGGTGGGAGGGGAGTTTAACTAAAGGCACGTCGCCTTGCATCCCACGCCCACAGCAGTGCACCGGGCTGCCTGCATGGGGATGGTGGGCTGGGGAAAATGGTATTGGAAGATGCAAGGTAAGAGTTGACGGGAAAACCGAGATGCTGTGACAGCCTAACTGCCATCTGCTAGCCAGGGTTTGAGCGGTCTGTTGGGGAATGGTGTAGCCATCATCTTACTAGCAGGGTAGGAGGCACAGAACGCCGCAGGCGACAGCGTTCCGATCTCGACCCGGTTGCGGTCCGGACGTTTGATGCGAATGTCAAATCTTTCGTACAGCAAGACACGACCCGTGGTGAGGGTCTTGTTCCTCGCATCCTGAAGCTTCTTTCGAAGGTGCCTAGGCCGAGCCGTTTCGTTCTCCATGACAAGGCGCAGGTTAGCCACTCCCTCAGGATCTGTGATGTTTAGAGCCGTGCAGAGGGCGGTGATGTTGGTGTCCCGCGGCGTCCAATACTCCAGGTCCACATCCGAAGTTTCGAAGTAAAGGATCTCCACAGCTCGACTCGCGGCCCCCTGACACGGGAACATGGGGGGTGATAGGTGGTTAGAGGGATTACTTGTGGGATAACAACGCACTGCCCCCTGCTGTGAAATACACAGCAGGGCAGCAGAAATGGCGCATGTAATAACCTGCAAATGGGCGGTCTGACATGGGTATGGAGTCAATGGTGGGTCCCAATGGGTGAAAACAGCACTAGAAGTCCGTTGCCTCCGCCAAGGACCATACAAACGGTACGGCAGTAGGATGTAATGCACTGGGTGGGGAGTGGGACACCGTTGGGACATTACCTTGAACCCATTGTGGATATCTGGCATGCTGGCCAACGCGTCAGCGTACCGATGCGCCCACGTCCGCTGCATGCTCGACAGTTGCTGCAAGTCCAAAATAGTTCCCCGGCTGTGGGCCGTCCTGACCGCATTTATGATAGCCACCCGATTCGGTTCCACGAGTAGAGTTCTCGGGAACGACGCCTGGAGCGTGTTTCCTGCCACGCCATTAGGAGTAGGCGCGCTCGGACCAGCCGCTGCAGCACCACTTCCAGCCGCTGCAGCACCACTTCCAGCCGCTGCAGCACCACTTCCAGCCGCTGCGGCACCACTTCCAGCCGCTGCAGCACCAGGACCAGCCGCTCCCATACCGTGAGCATCAGCATCACCTGAGGAGTTGCCAGGGTTGCTCGCTTCGTCCGGAGCGTCTTCGCTGGTATGGTTAGCAACACCGTGCGACAGGCGACGGTTCTCATTTTCAGCTTCCATAAGGCGGCGGCGCAGCTCACGTGCCTCAGCCTGAGCAGCATCGAACTCTTCCCGGGAGATAAGGTCCACTCCTTGTCCCGCTTCCTCATCGGCATCACTATACTCATCTAGCCCCTCGTAACCAGGCTCAGGTACCTGAGGTTCCATCTCCGGGAAAGCTTCAGGGTCTAGGGGCTGCATATAGTCAGTCGGGGCGCCATCATCCCCATACCCAGTAGAAGGGGTATGCAGACCCTCGGGTTGCATCGGTGCCTGCTGCTGTTGCTGCTGCTGCACATGCGGCGAAGATGGCACATCCGCGGGCAGCTGTTGCTGCTGCCCATACGGTGAGGCATGCAGATCCGTGGCGGGCTGCTGCTGCTGCTGCCCATACGGTGAGGCATGCAGATCCGTGGCGGGCTGCTGCTGCTGCTGCCCATACGGTGAGGCATGCAGATCCGTGGCGGGCTGCTGCTGCTGCTGCCCATACGGTGAGGCATGCAGATCCGTGGCGGGCTGCTGCTGCTGCTGCCCATACGGTGAGGCATGCAGATCCGTGGCGGGCTGCTGCTGCTGCTGCCCATACGGTGAGGCATGCAGATCCGTGGCGGGCTGCTGCTGCTGCTGCCCATACGGTGAGGCATGCAGATCCGTGGCGGGCTGCTGCTGCTGCTGCCCATACGGTGAGGCATGCAGATCCGTGGCGGGCTGCTGCTGCTGCTCCTGCAGTCCATTAGTCGAGGTTTGCAGACCCGTGGTGGTCTGCAACTGCTGCTCCTGATGTCCAATGGTTGGGGTGAGGCGAGGAGAGTTGGGCAGCTGCTGCTGCTGATGTCCAATGGTTGGGGTGAGGCGAGGAGAGTTGGGCAGCTGCTGCAGCTGCAGTCCAGTGGTTGGCGTGGCACGAGGAGAGTTCCGCTGCTGCTGCTGCTGCTGCTGCTGCTGCTGCTGCTGCTGCTGCTGCTGCCCATACGGTGAGGTAGGCAGACCAGTGGTGGTCTGCAGCTGCTGCTGCTGCTGCTGCTGTCCGGTGGTTGGGGTGGCACGAGAAGAGTTCCGCAGCTGCTGCTGCTGCTGCTGCTGCTGCTGCTGCTGCTGCTGCCCATACGGTGAGGTAGGCAGACCAGTGGTGGTCTGCAGCTGCTGCTGCTGCTGCTGCTGTCCGGTGGTTGGGGTGGCACGAGAAGAGTTCCGCAGCTGCTGCTGCTGCTGCTGCTGCTGCTGCTGCTGCTGCTGCTGCCCATACGGTGAGGTAGGCAGACCAGTGGTGCTCTGCAGCTGCTGCTGCTGCTGCTGTCCAGTGGTTGGGGTGACGCGAGCAGAGTTCCGCTGCTGCTGCTGCTGCTGTCTAGATGTTGGCGTGGCGCGAGCAGAGTTGGGCCGCAGCTGATGTTGATTTGAGCCTCTGCGAACCGTCGTGCGGCGAGGACCCGTCCGGCGGCCCCCAGTCGTCCCAGTTGTACTCGCCGGGTTGTGAAGTCCTCCCAGGGACAGCTGGTTGAGTGGAAGGGTTCTCTCGCCTGCACATCATCAAGACACACACATTCTTAGTATACAGCACCGTAGGCTATTTACGTACAACAAACCAAACTCTCGCGGAAATCAGCTTACAAGTACTAAGTGAAACGTCTTGAATAGTGCTTACCATTGCTGGGTGTTGTCGCCGCCGTTGCCTGCACCGATTCTTCACGGTCCCCTTCTCCTAGAGCACGAACTGAGGCCAACACGGATGAGTACCGGTTATTTGTGCCTCTACCAGGTCTATCAAACCGGCGCCCTTCGGCAGTATCCATGGTCGATCTAACACCACATCTAAAACGTTAAGAAACATACTATCAGTATGTTTCAACGTGCTTTTTATAGTCGCCAAGCCATCACCAGCAATGTATCTATCCGTCGCCAGGTTCACGGACGCACCGCTCTTGAGCTCGAGTGGTTCTCTGCGGTTCTCAAACCGCTCGTGCTGCAGCGTGCTAACCTTCGAATTTCGAAATTTGAAAACGGGTCGAAACAGCTCTCAGGCCCTCTACGGTTGTGTCTATGTTTTGAGATACGTGCGTGGGTAAATCGGCAACCGCGCGTGATACCAGCAGATGTGACGAAGGTTTCGTTGAAACGGAAGGTGTAAAAACGATGGTCCAGGTTCTTACCTGGTAGAGCCCTCGACATAATGTCGCCAGCGGGGAAATTGTTACAGCAGCCTGCTTCCGATTGGCGAGAAACAAGCGCACCGCAGGGTCGATTTGCAGTCCAGTTACAGAAACGGGCTGGTATCTCGTGTCGCAAGTTCATCCCCACCGAACAAGCATGACAGATACAATGGCGCGGAAGCAGGGGAGGGTCACGACGTGGGCCAGCTGGACAGGTTCTCAGTCAGCCTACCAGTAGCTGGGGGGAACGACGACGGCGTCGCTACCACGGGCAAGAGGGAGCGACGCTGTATGGTCAGGGCATGGTTGCGTGGCGCCGGTATCGCGGGGCATCGGCGCGGGGAGCCCACGCCAGCTGGCTCCCCCGCCCCGATAACGCTATGGGCTTGCTTAAGGGTGGGGGAGAGGTGCTCGCGTGTCTGGCAAAGCGTCGCGGGTTTCACTACCTATCCTAGTCAGCACAGGAAGAATCAGGTTTCTTCCAGCAGAGGGAGTTGGAGGTACTCGACGGGCTGCAACAATCAGACACACAAGTGTCGCACGGATTGAGGCAAGGTGCCTAGATTCCGTCATAACATAACAGTGGTTAAAATATTAACTTTAAGAGTTGAGTTTTAAAAACACTTGACACCATATCAAAGAGGTGTTTAGGGTACGAGTTCAATCACGATTTCAGGTAAAGGTATGCGCATACGCATCAGCACAAACAACAGGATTAAGATGTTGTTCGCCTAAAGTGCAAATTTGGTTACCTATTGCGCCACCAACATCGTCGTGTCTTGGCCCAGAAAACCAGTTATACTCAGATATGATGATATTCCCCTCGTTCAACAACTTACGGACAGACGACAGCATTGCGAATTTGGCTGATCAGATGGTTTAGGGAGATGGGCTAACATGAATCTAAGTCAACCATCTATGGAGTAATGTAATCTGTGAAACCCACGTCTACTGTTCTAACAACCTCGGTGTGACATACGGTAGCGATGATGCGTAAGGACCATGACAGAGCGCCATTGACAGAGCCCTACACCATCCTGTCAAATCCCCTCCGACGACGACGTTGTGGAGACAAAGTTATACAAGGAACCATGCCTGGTAGGCTGGGAACGTTTAAGTGTTGTCGAATGGCCTCCCGATGATTGTCGCACGCGTATTTGAGAGCATGGATCCCTTAAACATGCTCAAACAAGGTTACCATCCACGTATCGCGTCATTCGGGCAACGTGAGAGGCTTCGTCGCTGCCCAGAACAAAACTATACAGGGTACCGTACAATGACAGGCAGGGAGCGAACAAGTGTTGTCGAATGACGTCCCGGTGATTGTCGCGCACGTATTTGAGAGCATGGATCCCTTACATATGCTCTAACAAGGCTACCATCCACGTATCCTGTCATTCGGACAACGTGAGAGGCTTCGTCGCTGCGCAGAACAAAGCTATACAGGGTACCGTGCAAGGACAGGCTGGGAACGCACGAGTGTTGTCGAATGACGTCCCGGTGATTGTCGCACACGTATTTGAGCGCATGGATCCCTTACACATGAACTAACAGGGCAACCATCCTCGTATCGAGTCATTCGGACAACGTGTGAGGCTTCGTCGCTGCGCGGAACAAAGCTATTTATGGAACCGTGCAAGGATAGGGTGGGAAACGTATGAGAGTTGTCGAATGACGTCTCGGCGATTGTCGCACACGTATTTTAGAGCATGGATCCCTTACACATGCCCTAACAAGGCTACCACCCACGTATCGTGTCATTCGGACAACGTGAGAGGCTTCGTCGCTGCGCAAAACAAAGCTATACAGAGAACCGTGCAAGGACAGACAGGGAGCGAACAAGTGATGTCGAATGACGTCCCGGTGATTGTCGCACACGTATTTGAGAGCATGGATCCCTTACACATGCCCTAACAAGGCCGCGGAGAGTCACTATACAACGGGAGTGGACTACGGAGGAAGGCACGGGGTTGTGCGGGTGATCGAAGCGTTGCGCTAGGTGTTCTCGCTACTTGCTGTGTTCACAAGGAAATGTGTCAAGAGTTTCAGTAAGAAATTGAAAGAACATTAGATTACAATGAGGCATGCAAGTCGATATAGCTAGAATGGCATTGCAACACCTAGCAAGCCCTCTGCAAGGTGAACTATGCCAGCGCAGCAGAAGAGCGGCTTGCCAACGCTGCAGCAGAGTAGTCTGCCAGCGCGGTATAGCAGCGGTCTGCCAGCGCGGTATAGCAGGTCTGCCAGCGCGGCAGAGGCAGGTGAACTTCTGCGCAGGTGCGCACCTACCAAGTAGGTGCAGGTAGACGGACGCGCCGCCAGGCACATTGCACAGGTGCCAGGTAGAACACGTGCCGACGGTTTCGTCAGCGATGCACCGTCGAGCACGTGATGCCGTTCCGCAGGTTGACTTCGCGAAAACCTCCTGGGCGACATTCGCCCACATGACGAATTTCGCAGTCGCGCGGCTTCCGTAGAGTAGTTCGACGAATGCTTCGTCGAGCAGTTTTCGCCTAGACGAGCCCTCTGCCAGCCTCGTCGAGGAGCTCCTATACCGGCCTTGAGGAGCTCCTATACCGCCTTCGTCGAGGAGCTCCTATACCGAACGGATCCCGTCGAACCGAGCTCCTCGACGGACTTGTCGACCAGCGACTTCTGCGAGCCCGTCGACCGCGTCCTCTGCGAGCCCGTCGACCGCGTCCTCTGCGAACGCGTCGAGGTCGAACTATACGGGCAGGTCGAGGTCGAACTCTGCGCGCAGTCTACGACAACTTCTGCGCGCTCCCCAACTGCGAAGTCCGCTTCGCCCAAGCGAGGGCTGGGCCAATTCCCGTCAACAAAGGCTACCACCCACGTATCGTGTCATTCGGACAACGTGAGAGGCTTTGTCGCTGCGCAGAACAAAGCTATACAGAGATCCGTGCAAGGACAGACAGGGAGCGAACGAGTGTTGTCGAATGACGTCCCGGTGATTGTTGCACAAGTATTTGGGAGCATGGATCCCTTACACATGATCTTACAAGGCTTCCATCCACGTATCGTGTCATTCGGACAACGTGAGAGGCTTCGTCGCTGCGCATAACAAAGCTATACAGGGTATCGTGCAAGGACAGGCTGGGAACGAACGAGTGTTGTGGAATGACAGCCCGGTGATTGTCGCGCACGTATTTGAGAGCATGGATCCCCTACACATGCTCTAACAAGGCTACAATCCACGTATCCTGTCATTCGGACAACGTGAGAGGCTTCGTCGCTGCGCAGAACAAAGCTATACATGGTACCGTGCAAGGACAGGCTGGGAACGCACGAGTGTTGTGGAATGACAGCCCGGTGATTGTCGTGCACGTATTTGAGAGCATGGCTCCCTTACACATGCTCTACCAAGGCTACCATCCACGTATCCTATCATTCGGACAACGTGAGAGGCTTCGTCGCTGCGCAGAACAAACCTATACAGAGAACCGTGCAAGGACAGACAGGGAGCGAACAAGTGATGTCGAATGACGTCCCGGTGATTGTCGCACACGTATTTGAGAGCATGGATCCCTTAAACATGCCCTAACAAGGCTACCACCCATGTATCGTGTCATTCGGACAACGTGAGAGGCTTTGTCGCTGCGCAGAACAATGCTATACAGAGATCCGTGCAAGGATAGACAGGGAGCGAACGAGTGTTGGCGAATGACGTCCCGGTGATTGTCGCACACGTATTTGGGAGCATGGATCCCTTACACATGATCTTACAAGGCTACCATTCACGTATCGTGTCATTCGGACAACGTGAGAGGCTTCGTCGCTGCACAGAACAAAGCTATACAGGGTACCGTGCAAGGACAGGCTGGGAACGAACGAGTGTTGTGGAATGACAGCCCGGTGATTGTCGCGCACGTATTTGAGAGCATGGATCCCTTACACATGCTCTAACAAGGCTACCATCCACGTATCCTGTCATTCGGACAACGTGAGAGGCTTCGTCGCTGCGCAGAACAAAGCTATACAGGGTACCGTGCAAGGACATGCTCGGAACGCACGAGTGTTGTGGAATGACAGCCCGGTGATTGTCGTGCACGTATTTGAGAGCATGGATCCCTTACACATGCTCTACCAAGGCTAACATCCTCGTATCGAGTCGTTCTGACAACGTGAGAGGCTTCGTCGCTGCGCAGAACAAAGCTATACAGGGTTTAGTGCAAGGACAGGCAAGGAGCGAACAAGTGTTGTCGAATGACGTCCCGGTGATCGTCGCACACGTATTTGAGAGCATGGATCCCTTGCACGTGATCTAACAAGGCTACCATCCTCGTATTGAGCCATTCTGACAACGTGTGAGGCTTCGTCGCTCCGAAGAACAAAGCTATACAGGGAACCGTGCAATGACAGGCAGGGAGCGAACAAGTGTTGTCGCATGACGTCCCGGTGATTGTCGCACACGTATTTGAGAGCATGGCTCCCTTAAACATGATCTTACAAGGCTACAATCCACGTACCGTGTCATTTGGACAACGTGAGAGGCTTCGTCGCTGCGCAGAACAAAGCTATACAGGCTACCGTGCAAGGATAGGGTGGGAAACGTATGAGAGTTGTCGAATGACGTCTCGGCGATTGTCGCACACGTATTTTAGATCATGGATCCCATACACATG